AGGCGCGCGGCGCCTCAGGCCTCCCCCCCTCCCCCCGCCATGTTGAACGGAAAACGCGGTGAAAAAATCGACACTTCACACAAAACCCGTCACTTTCGCGTTTTTAAATCTCTTTATTCAGGAAGTGAAATTAAAACCTGTAAACTATAAATACAAATGCCAAGGTATTACAGGAGATCTCCAGAGGCTTTACATTTTTTTTAATTTCTCACAAATAATTCCTACTGAATCCGACATACAACAGGGAAACCAAACGAGTTTAAAGTTTTGCATACAATGGAAAAAAAACCCAAAACAAACCAAGAGTTACAGAGTTAAGATACCATCGATTTGCCGATTTATAAGAGTTTCTACCTCATACAAATGAAAGCTCAGAAAACAACTATAATTCATTCATTAACGGCACAGCGACTGTCATTTCTAACAGTGTTATCTGCATTAAGCAAGCTGTCTATAACCAGGTGTACTTTACCACTGTTTACTCAGTGACATTACAGAGTTCTTAAATATTTTTATTTATATACTGTCACCAATATATATATGCACTGCAAAGAGGGCCAAACACTTGCGGAAATGTCAAGTTTTACACAACATTTTCATGGATGTTTCTGCATTTTTCTTTTTCCCAAACACCAAAGCAGAGTCATTGTTTTCACACGGTTTCTTTAATTTGTCAAAAAAAGAACCCCACGTAACTTCATCTGTGTCAAAGAAGCAGAAGAGCAAGCTTAAAAGCAAATTCCATTTATGCATTTTCTTGGGGTGGGGTGGGGGAAGTGTATCCTTTCCAGGTATTACTTCACGTGTATCTGAAGAAATATGACCACCAAGAATAGGTTCACTAAATTTATTTAAAAATCGTAAAATGTGTCTTACAAAAAAGCATTACATTCCGCACACTGCTCTCAGAGGATGCCAGGGACACGTGGACTACCAGTAATTTCCCCCGTCAAAAAAAATACAGTGTACATAAAGCAGGGTGTTCACAACAATTACAGAATAAACATTACAATTTACCACCAACAATGAACAAAAATAAAGTTCACTCTCTCTGCTGCTGCTTCAAAATTTCAATGTTAGTCTTGTGCGCCCTTTCCCTCCCCCCACGTTTTTGTAAGGAACTAAAACATTACATCTGGTGGACAGCAAAGATTCCACTACACCTCAAATGCAGAACACCTATGAAGCAGAGGAATGTTGGCTTTTTAAACAGAAGCAGATAAAAAAAAAAGGGTGCAGGACTCCTTCAGTTCTTCACTAGTCTTAGAAAAACTTTCCAGAATACTGCTTCACACTATAAAAAAGAAAAAATAATCTTGCATTAGAATCCTTCAACATCTGCATACTGCTTCACACTATAAAAGAAAAAGAAAAAAGCATGTATTAGAATGATGGACCATACATCTTGCATCAACATTCACAATGACATTCTCTTACAGAAGATTAAACTACAAATTCCTAGTACATTTAATAGTAAATAATTTAAAAATATTAATGGCTAATAATTATAGGTATATTAATATATTTTAGGCACATTTAAGTATGAGTAATCTAAAGGCAAACTTTAAAGTTAATACATTAAAATCTGCTATGACAGCCAACAGGTTAAAGCAGCAAAGCTAAGCAAATTAAATCTGAAGCTGTTCATATTTGGCAGAAAAGACAAAGTAGTGTCAGCAAGGTGTGAAATGCTGCATAATGACAACAAATCGATTTGAACTTATCCTGTAGAGGCATGGTCTGTGCCATATGGCAGACTGTGATTTGTTGTCAATTTAGTTATCTAAAAACAACAAAATCACTAGTCTTCCACACAGAACTAGACCAACATCCACTGAAATCTTCTATATTTTCTACAGGCTCTATGTAATTTATTACAAGTAGTTTTTTGCAGCAGTTTTCACCAGAGAAATGAGAGGACTGCTTGGTTAAGGCGTCTTCCAGCAAGATTAGTTTTGAGGGTGTCTTCATTTTAATTAGAATGGAGAACAGAAGAGAATCAAGGCAGAACTACCACTGGATAAGTTAGGTTCAAGTAAGTTACTTAAAACCTGCCTTCTAAATACGGTATCACAGAGAAGAGCTTTAGAATGTACAAGTCAGTGTAAAATTGACAGCAGAGACAACATTAAACTCTAACTTGCCTGTTCTGCAGTAAATACTGTGCATTTTGTATCTGGTCCTGTGTTCCAGTAATAGTTATTATCCGATCTTCTGAGCCTTCTAACGGTTCATCAATTTTGATCGAAGCTCCTGACTCATGACGTATCTGTTTGATTCTCTGGCCTCCCTTTCCAATAATAGATCCTGCCAACTAAGGGAGAAAACAAAGCATTCATTTCCTGATTCAAATTCCTCCCTAAAAACAGTTACAAAAATCACAGCAGTGTTTGAGTCGCTTCCCGAAGTTCAGTTTCAAGAGTTGCAGTGAAAGTGTACTTCTTTGCAACCTCAAAACGTCCCCTGCAATACTAGCGGTCCAAACACAGGTGGGATACAACTGGGAGAACCAGTTGCTCATTTGCAGAAAAGTTACATAGACCATCTCTGATGTTGCGGCTTAACCCAGCAGTGGGCAACAAGGACCACACAGCCGCTCACTTGTTCTTCCCCCCTGCAGTGGAATGGGGAGCACAACGGGAAAAATTAAACCTTGTGGGCTGAGATAAAGACAGCAGCCATTGCGGAACACCGAGCTCACAGATTTCACAAATTTCATGCAACTCCCCAAAAAAGACCAAATTCAGGGCAAAGTTCAAAACCCCAGAAAAAGAGAAATCATGGAGAAGAGGAAAAAGCCAGGATTGCTGCCTCCCCAGCCAACCCCCATTCATAAAGTGCGCATGCTGCCTATGATATGGAGTATTTCCATCGGCCAGCCTGGGCTAGCTGCCTGGCTCTGCTCCCTCCCAGCTCCTGCACACCCGCAGGACTCAGCAACAACCAAAAACATCAGTGTTATCAACATTCTTCTTCTACTAAATCCAAAACATAGCAGCTACTGGGAGGAAAATTAACTCTATCCCAGCTGAAACCAGGACACTGAATATTAACAATTAGTAAAATTGCTTAGCGTGTCTCTAAAGTTCAGACACAAACAGCTGAAGAATAGGCTTTTCGTGATTTAGAAATACTTGTTTTACGTTAGAAGTACTTGTCATTAGAAGTACTTACACAGTCTGACAAAAGGCTGGGCCTTTTTTTTTAATAGACAAAACACAAGTTGAAAGTAAGCCAACTTTACTTACATCTTTGGGAATCGTTACTTGTGTTGTGATGATGGGTCCACCAAGATCTCCGTATGAACCACGCCCCCCTGCGTAAGAATAGTCTGATTTAAACGCATGCATCAAGCCCTTTAACAACTATGTAATGAAGTACATGTAAAGGTTCTGTGTAAGCACTTACCATATCCAGAGCCACCTTCAAACTGTAGGAGAAAGAAACCGTAAATAGTAAGTAACCAGGCTTCATTAACATATTTTCATCTTAAGTATCATACTGTTAAATTTAAGCTTATTTCATGCAAAAATCTCAACCCCCAACCCTACTATAAACACAACCGTGTTATGCCATCGAAGGCATACTGAGGCAAACAGGACAGACCAGAAACAAAAGTGGCTGCTGGGGGAATCTCACAAACAACTTCTACCACTTTCAAAACCTCTAGGAGTAAGGCATAGAATGACACAAAGGATTCAGCTACACCAGTTTACCAAGCAGTCTCACTAACTCAGCCGCTGGTAGACAGCTCTGCACGCTGATCTACTCCCGACCCTTGGACTAAACTAACGTTCAGATGAAGAGATCAGAGTACAGTCTTACTAAGGCTATCAATATCACTTGGGAGAGACTCCACTCTCCAGTTTTGGGACAAAAGGTTTACCCAGTGACTGTCAACACTCCTACTTGATCTACATCTTCAGGAAAAAAAACCCACAGAGCTCTTAATAGCAGTTCTGTAACTTGACTCTTGATTCAGACTATGCTACAATCCTTTGTACCTTAGAAAAGATAATCATGACACGAGTTACTTCTGTTCTGCTAAAACCACCACATACCAAATCCAAATCACTGCAACGGGCACTCCTGGCCTCTTTTTATTTTTAGGATTTTAGACCAGTATTTGACAACAGGTGCTTCATTTCATCTAATGCCCTCTAAGTGCC